TTAAAGTGGGCACTTAGGAACTGAATGAAAATTAAGTTTGAATACAGCCTATTAAATTGTTTATGAAAGAAATTTTGTTGCAGAAGATTCACAACTACTGGCACCAATGATACGTTGCTGCTACTAAAGATCTGATTATATGAGAGTACAGTTTGTTTTGAAACTATAAAATGTTAAAATCAGGATGATCAAACTGTAAAGATAATGTATAATAATTCACCAGGACACACTCTTAATTCTGTTACAATAATAACATAGAAAATTTGAGCATAATCAAACTTAAGTTCAGCAAAGTATGCAGCTTTTGCTACCCTTTATGAACTGATTCTCCACATGATTTAACTCATGTGGAGTTAAGGACTGTAAATGGATTTAACTCATTAGTTTTCAAAGTGAAAACTTGTATTTCATTTATTCCCAAAACAGAGAAATACCATGCCTGACAAATCTCAAGATTCACTTCAAGATGACATTCCAGCCCACGATACAGCTTCTGCCTTCTTGGTATGAATAGTTTTTTGGTTGGGGACAAAAGAGAGGGTGGAAATGTCCCTAAGATTCTTAAAGTACTACAAAATGTTTTATTTACAATTAAACCTAAGATTTAAAAATCTGCCAAAATGGAATCAGAATGAGAAGAACATTTCATCAGGTCACACAGCGCCCAAAACTTAAGCTCTATTCAAGAACCACTGTTTGAGAAATAGTAGCAATTTGTGGTTAAACAATCATTTACAGTGCCTACTCAATGTACATGAACTGCATTACTTATTAAGCACTATTATCAAACTGGGAGGTTAAGTAGCTTTTAGTAAATTTAAAGTGGATGGAAACAGAATTCAATGGCAAACAAGATCCTTGGAGAGAGAGATCATTTGCTTAAATTTGACATAGTATGTAGTCATAGTATAACCTCACTTTTGAAATTTTGGCAATAAAACTAGTTTTATTTCATTAGCTTTATACATATAAAAATGCTTACTGCTTTTCAGTAAATGGCACATATTTGTAACTTCCAAGATACTTTTGTAAACACTACCTAAAATAATACACACAAACCCAAACAGATCAATAACCTGCAAGTATTATTACCTTTTATGTATTTACTAAACATAATTCTTTATACATCTACTATACATTTTCAATTTTTCCTTAGTTATTATTCCAACATATATAGAAACAATGCCAGGGCAAATATACTTCCAAATGTGGCAATGAATACGCCAGAATATATAGGACTTCAAAATGCGTGATCTAATTCTTAATTTAAGTCAAATTCAGTCATTTCCCCCTCTTTTATCTCTAAAGTTAATATATTATCATTAGAATAACTAGGTGAATCTCAAACACAAGTAAATAAATAGTGGAAATTCAGTCAAGTAATATTAAGGCTAATGTAATTAATTTTCATGTTGTCTTTTATTTTTAGAAAAACAGCAGCTGCCAACTTTTCAGCTGAGAACAAATTTCTATAGTTCTTATTTTATAAATTATTTCTTCTCAGGATTCTATATGAGCTTCAACCAGAAAGACCAACAATTTCTTTATTAAGAATCTGTGTTTAAAAAACATGTGTGTATGAAGGCTTTAATAAGGTTCTCTGAAAAAAACTAAAAATAAAAATTTAAAAAGTATCTGCCTTAGTTATAATTTTGCGTTTAAACAAGCAATTTCAAAACACAAAGTTTAAAGCCACTAAGCCATTAATTTTGATCAGCTTTTTTAACTGCTGTATTTGTAATATTACAAAATACAAGGCTAGTCTCAAAGAATTTTATATACTACATTAGAGTTCAACAAATGTTCTCTCCCACCCTCCATAAAAGAACAGTGTCATCAATTTAATTTTGTTAGGAGTCACAAAATTTTTATTTAGGAAAAATATTCCCTTCAATGTTTATTAGATAATGAATCTTATTTAAATGAATAGTTTACTTTTAGTTTTCTGCGCAGATCAATTAAAAAGTATGCCTCTTTCCTTTCATAAGCAAATTGTGTTTGTCTCATTCTTCATGGCAGATAAGAAATTAATACTTTACTTCTTTCTACCTTAAAAATGAATGAGATTTTCCTCGTTATGAAATAGTTGTTGCTGTATGGATTACTGTTGTATTAAAAACAAAAAGTTAGTAAAGGATATGGACACATGGGGAACAAATCATAAACTATAATACCAGTTAATAATGAAATATATTAAACATTGTTTAAATATTAAACAGCAAAATACTCATTCTATATTAAATAAATAATTAAGATTTGAATTTGTCATATGGGAATATAAGCCAATATCACCAATAATGGGGATGATCTAGTGCAAAGGGTAGCCAAAAAAAAAAAAAACCAAACAAACAAAAAAAACCAAACACACATACACACAGAAAAGAAGAAAACGAGGAGGAAACAACATTTAATACTGGTATTGTTTTCAATAACAAATTAAACCAGTGATTCTGAATCCCTCCTGAACATTAAAATTACCTGGAGAACGCTGAAAAAATACTGATGATCAGGTCTCATCCCATACAAATTAAATCAGCATCAGAATCAGGATTCAGGCATGGTGTATTTTTAAAACTTCCCAAATGATTCTGTATGTAGTCTGGGTTGAGACCTACTGACTGAAACCTACATGCTTCTTACTGTTACCTGACTCAGCAGAGTGTCCTATGAATAAATAAATAGAGCTTTCCTTTACAGGTGGGGTAATAAGGGTGTCTCCAGTTAATAGTAACTTGTGGGTAAATCAAGTTATTAATGTACACTTCATTTCCATTAAAATATCTACTTATGCCTCTTTACTGCCTGTAATTCTGTATTCTCAAACTCCAAGACGAAGTATAATCAAACTACTTTTTTGTAATAAATCAGTTATACTGAAAATACGTTATTCATTCATGCACGTATTTACTGAATGCCTACTATGTGCAAGGCACTGTGTTAGGTGTTGCTATAGGACTGAGTCATGGGAGAATGAATAGTGATTGGCTGAAAATTTTGTTTTCTATTTTTGATTTTCAGAATTAATGGCTATAAAATTAACTACATGGACTTAAATAAGGGACTGAACTGTCCAAAACAAACAAAAAGTACATAATAAGGGTCTGATTTTAAAATACATGGTAAAGCATATTTGTACTTTTCTTAATGTTCCGTACAGTATCTCCATAAGCTTTCAAACATACATAAGGCAAATGCAAAATAGAAAAATAAACCCTGTTTCAAAGTAGATGTTCCCAATTTTAACCATACTCTGTATCAAGTAAATTTCATATATAAGTACAAATACCAAAAATCTTTACGGAAAGGTAGTTCATGTCCACTTGTAGTAGTCTTAACAAGTAATCTTACATAAAAATATTACAGATTCTAGTCCTTGACAATTTCATCATGGAGAAAGTTTACACAGTACATAATTTATTTTGAAAACAGATTCATATGCTGAGAAAGTCTAATGTGAAAAAGTTTGAATTTTCTTTTATCTTCAAGGAGAGGGGATGCAGGGAAGAAAGGAAAAAATGGGAGCAGAATCTGTTTAAACCTTATAAATATACTAAAATATAGTAATTTAAAATGCTAACTGTCTTCTTTTGAAGAGCCTTGTGAATTCCATGTGAACAAATATCTTTTCTATTTACTATTGGTATGGACTTTTGTGGTGACTTAAAAAATAAATAATAATTGCTTCTCACTTTTATGATAGCATTAAATTTCAAAAAGAGGTTCAGGTAATGTCAGCTGAAAAAAGAGCTAAATGTTTACCAAAAATGTTACACTAAGAGAGAATCACTGGGGAAAAAATAGAGAAAACGATGAGGTAAGACTGAATGATTAACAAAAATTCTAATGGCAAAAACAGTTAAGAAGAGTTAAGGTTCCCAGTTGCTTTTAAGTAGTAAAAGGTGAAAATCAAGACTCAAGGAAAATGGTGATTCATTGTACCTTGGATGCAATACTCTATCTAAAGTAGAGAAATAGTAAAATATTTTACTAAGTTAAAATATAGGCTTTATATTTTATACCATATTGAATACACACATAAAAATACCAGTGATTTCATCTTGTTTCTGTTCAGACACTTAATTAAGCAATTGTGTTCTTTGGTGCCTGGGAGTTCATCAATATTTAGGGATATTGGAAGATAAGAACTCCAAGATCAACAAGACTAGAACTAGAAGACTCAAAATCCTATACCATATAAAATAAGAAATCAAAGGTGGACTTATGAGAAAAAATAAGGAACTTAAAGTTACACTGTAACAGGGCTGATACATATTCCTTCCCCCAAATCATACTCTGGCTTCCCAAATAGAAAGTACTATAGCCTATTATGTTTTTAATCTGTGTTTTGAGATTTTGAGTGGAAAGATATTATAGATAGAAATATATCATTCTAAGTTTTAAAATCACCAAAGTCAGTGAAAAGAATGTACATTCATTAAATGTATTCATTTATAAGAAGTCTTGAAAAGGCTGAACAGTTCAACCAAAATTGAAGAATTGTTCTTGATTTTTCATTATTCCTTTTTAAATAAAGAGTAAGTATAGATATAGTATACATAGAAGTTGACATTTTGATTCACTCAAAATAGTCACATTCTTTTGCTTGGTTTTGGAAGTTCCAGAGACTAAAATTTAATACCATCCATAACACAGTATTTTCAGTAAAAGGAATTATAGAGCAATGAAAAATCAGAAGCAAGTAAAGGCTCAGAGAGCCTTATATCCTCTAAATATACACACATTTATAACCTGCATTTATTTTCTAAGGAAACAAATTTTAAGTAATGCTCATTTAACCAATGGAGAAAAAATTTCTATCAAAATATACAATTTCCATTACAGACTAGAAGGCTAATATTAAAAAAATAATTGTAAGCCAAAAAGTTTGCTTATATGGATGACAAGCATCACCCCTTTGAAGAACAAAGAATCAAATAAGGTCTTATAAAAGATCCATCTATGACCTTCTTCATTTGTAAGTTCCTGATAAATTCATAAAGCTTGAGTCTTAGTCTTTAGATCAAGGTATATCCATGCTTCTTAATCCAGATTTCCGGAAATAGAGGAACCAAATAACTCAGAATCTTAAGTGGGATTTATGCTTTACCATGTACCTGAAAAACAATATTATAATAAGTTATAATAACTATAGGATTTTTAGAATATTACATGTAAAAATAAGCTGACATTTCTTAAAACTTAACAGTGGATGTTTTGTTTTATAAAAACAAATTGGAAATTTAATACTGTGACCTTTGGGAATTTAAGGATTTCTGAAATAAGTTGAAAAATACATGCCTTCTACTAAATTCTACGTAAGCTTCTAAGCTAGAATGATAAACACTTCTCTTAATCGGTCATAATTAGATTGGATTACCTCAATTATTTATGACTTTAAGGAAACCTATAACATCCAGTGAGAGACTTACACCAAGAAAGTTACAGATTTTAAGGAGCACCTTAAAGAGACCAATAGATTTAGTGTTATTAAATGCGATCATATGCTGTTCTGAAATTGCCAATTATAAAACTTACTAATGTAAATGGCTTTAAGAACTTTATTTGTACCAGCAATTAAAACAAATTTAAAAACTGAAATCTTTCATCAGCCATAACTCAAATAAATCCAGAGTTTTTCAGTGCTTGCAAAAAACACAGGGATCACTTAAACCAAGCTCCTTGGACAGACAAAAAATAATATTCAAAAGGGTCACACAGTTCATTAGAACCAGATCATAAAACCAAGACTAAAATCTAGGTCTTCTGGCTCAGTTTAGTGTTCCTTCTACCAGTATATAAACCCTTTGTTCCTAAAGTAAATATATCAAAGACATTTGTTAACTGATCAACATCAAATTAGACAATGTTCAAAGAAGGGAATTGGGAAATAAGGTTAACAACTTAAAGAAACTTAAAATTTAATTAAGGAGACAGAAAAATTACTATAATAAAGCAGACGAGCAAACTTTAGACTCAGAATTACCTGTCTAATGTTTCCCAAAACCGTAAGAAAACTGGTCTATCCAAATGACGTTTGTGATAGCTGAGTTCTAATACTGTTACGTCCCATTTCTGAACATTGGGATCTAGACGAACTTCATCATACTTGAGATGGAAGGCTTTAACTATATAGGGGGTGGGGGGATGGAAAGATAAGTAATTATTTTTTAGTCAAACTATAATCAAAATTATGAAAACATTTTATAGAAAAATTTTTAAAATTCCAATCCAGATATTAACCAGAAACCTAAAAAACAAAAAAATTCAATCTCTCTTCCACCAATCGAAGCTATATTACAAAGTGGATCTTTTAAATAGATGCAAAACACTATAGTATACTAAAAAATATTTAATAAACATTTAGTGAGGGTTTGTAAGTGCCAGCCACTGGGGACTGAAATGAGGAATAAGGAAAGATACAATGCATATAGTCTGGTAAAGGATAATAAGAAAAAGATTATTCAAACAGTACAGTACAATAAGGAAAGTGGGGTATCACAGAGAAAGAGTGTAAGCATACCTCGGAGATTATTGCCGGTTGAGTTCCAGACCACCACATTAAAGCCAATATCGCAATACAGTGAGTCATATAATTTTTTTGGTTTCACAATGCATATAAAAGTTATGTTTACATTATACTATAGTCTATTAAGTGTGCAATAACATTATGTCTAAAAAACAATGCACATACCTCAATGAAAAAATATTACTAAAATATGCTAACAATTATCTGAGCCTTCACGCAAGTAACAATCACATTGTTGGTAGAGGGTCATGCCTGGATGTTAAGGGGTGGTGAATGATTATAGGGATGGCTGCTGAGGGTGGCTGTGGCACACACTGGGGAAAAGAATCCCTATTCAAGAAACAGTTCTGGGAAAATTGGACAGCCACATGCAGAAGACGGAAACAGGATCCGTGTATCTCACCACTCACACAAATTAACTCACAATGGATAACAGACTTAAACCTAAGGCATGAAACCAATTCTAGGAGAAAATGTTAGAAAAACTCTTATAGACATCGGCCTAGGCAAAGAATTTATGAAGAAGACTCCAAAGGCAATCACAGAAACAACAAAAATTAATAAACGGGAACTGACCGCATTAAAAAGCTTCTGCACAGCCAAGGAAACTATCATCAGAGCACATAGACAACCTACAGGATGGGAAATATTTGCTTGCTATACACTGATAAAGGGCTGATAACTAGAATCTACATACAACTCAGGAAAATCAGCACGAAAAAATCAAACAACCCCATTTAAAAAGTGAGAAAAGGACATGAACAGAAACTTTTCAGAAGAAGATAGACTAATGGCCAAGAAACATACACAAAAATGCTCAACATCTCTAATCATCAGGGAAATGCAAATCAAAACCACAAGGAGATATTACTTAACTCCAGTGAGAATGATTTTATCAAAAAGTCCCGAAACAATAAATGGCATGAATGCAGAGAGACAGGAACACTCATACACTGCTGGTGGGACTGCAAACTAGTGCAGCCTCTACAGAAAGTAGAATGGTGATACCTCAAAGAACTAAAAGTAGAAATACCATTTGATCCAGCAATCCTATACGGGGTATATTTATCCAAAGGAGAAAAAGACATTCTATAAAAAAGACACCTGCACTAGAACGTTTATAGCAGCACAATTCACAATTGCAAAGGTGTGGAAACAACCCAAGTGCCCATCAATACATGAGTGTATTAAAAAAATGTGGTATATGTATACCATGGAGTACTACTCAGCCATTAAAAAAAATGCTGTACCACCTGTTGTATTATCCTGGATGGAGCTGGAGCCCATTCTTCTAAGTGAAGTATCACAAGAATGGAAAAACAAACACCACATGTACTCACTATTAAATTGGTACTAATTGATCAAAACATGTGGGCACATATGGAAGCAACACTCATCAGGTGTCCGGCAGGTGGGAGGGGGGAGGACGGGAGGAGGGGATGGGTAAATTCACACCTAACGGATACGGTGTGCACTGTCTAGGGGATGGGCACGCCTGTACCTCTGACTCGGGCAGTGCAAAGGCAATTTATGTAACCAAAGCCTTTGTACCCCTGTAATATTCTGAAATTAAAAAAAAAAAAAGCAAGCCATGAAGTGTGCCATAGTGACACTTCCTTATATGAAAGACATCTCAGTAGCATGTGATGCTGTTTGACACCATTTTAGCCACACAGCTGAACTTCTTTCAAAACTGGAGTCAATTCTCTCAAACCCTGCTGCCAACTATGTAAACGTAATATCCTAAATTCTTTCTTGTCATTTCAACAAAGTTCACAGCATCTTCACCAGGAGTAGGTGCCATCTCAAGAAACCACATTCTTTGCTCATCCATAAGAAGCAACTCCTCATCCACTTAAGTTTTCTCATGAAACTGCATCAATTCGGTTCCATCTCCAGGCTCCATTTCTACTTCTAGTTTTCTTGCTGTTTACACCACATTTAGTTACTCCCTCCATTGACGTTTTGAACTCCTCGAAGCCATGCATAAGGGTTGGAATCAACTTCTTCTAAATTTCTGTTAATGTTGATATTCTGATCTCCTGTGATGAATCACGAACGGTCACAGTGGTGTCTAGAATGGTAAATCCTTTACAAAAGGTTTTCAATTTACTTTACCGAGATGCATCGGAGGATTCACTATCTACGGCAGCTGTAGCCTTATGAAATATATTTCTTAAATAACAAGACTTGAGAATTAAAATTACTCCTTGACCCATAGGTTGCAGAACAGATGTTGTATCAGAAGGAATGAAAACAACATTAATCTCTGTGTGCATCTCTATCAGCACTCTTGTGTGACTAGGTGCATTGTCAATCAGCAGTAATATTTTGAAAGGAATCATTTACTCTCAGCCTCTGAGCAGGAGACCTCAACAGTGGGCTTAAAATATTCAGTAAACCATTTTGTAAAAAGATATTCTGTCATTCAGGCTTTGATGTTCCATTTCCAGAGCACAGACAGAACAGATTTAGCATAATTCCTCCCCTCCCCACCCCCCACAGGATCTTGCTCTGTCTCCCAGGCTAGATTGCAGCAGCCCAATCATAGCTCACTGCAGCCTTGAAATCCTGGGCTCAAGCGATCCTCCTGAGTCAGCCACCCAAGTAGATCCTCCTGAGTCAGCCACCCAAGTAGCTGGGATTACAGACACATGCCACCATGCCTGGCTAATTTTTCCTATTTTTTGTAGAGACAGGGGTCTCACTATGTTGCCCAGGCAGTCTCAAACTCCTGGCTTCAAGGAGTCCTCCCAGCTCAGCTTCCCAAAGTGCTGGGATTACAGGCATGAAGCACCTGCCTGGACAGATTTAGCATGATTCTAAGGACCCTAGGATTTTCAGAATGGTAACTGGCTTCAACTTAAAGTCACCAGCTACATTAACTCCTAACAAAAGAGTCGGCTTGTCCTTTGAAGCTTTGAAGCCAGGCATTGACTTCTCTTTTTTGGCAATGAAAGGCCTAGATGAAATGTTCTTCTAATGGAAGCCTGTATTATCTACACTGAAAATCTGCTGTTTAGTGTAGCAAACTTTACAAACGATCTTAGCTAGATATTCTGCATAACTAGCTGCAGCTTCTACATCAGCACTTGCTGCTTCACCTTACACTTTTATGTTACGGAAATGGCTTCTTTCCTTAAGCTTCATAAACCAACCTCTGCTTGCTTCCAACTTTTCTTTTGCAGTTTCCTCACTGCTCTCAGCCTCCACAGGATTTAGAGAGTTAGGGCCTTGCTCTGGACCAGGCATTGCTTAAGGCAACGTTGTAGCTGGTCCCTCTATCCAGACCACTCAAACTTTCTCGCTATCAGCAATAAAGCTAATGTGTTCAGTGGAGTAGCACTTCTATCTCTTTCAAGAACTTTTCTTTTGCATTCACAACTTGGTTAAGTGTTTGGCTCAAGAGACCTAGCTTTTGGCCTATCTTGGCTTTTGACCAGTCTTCCTCACTAAGCTTAATCATTTCTAGCTTTTGATTTAAAGTAAGAGTCGTATGACTCTTCTTTTCATGTGAACACTTAGAGGCCACCGCAGGGTTAGTAATTAGTCTAATTTCAACATTGTTGTGTCTCAGGGAATAAGGACACTCAAGGAGAGCGAGAGACTGGCAGGTTGCTGGAGCAGTCATACACACCCAACATTTATCGACTAAGTTCGCAGTCTTCTACGGGCATGGTCCATAGTGCCTCAAAACAACTACAATAGCAACATCAAAGATCACTAATTACAGATCACCATAACAGATATAATAATGAAAAAGCTTGAAATATTGTGAGAATTACCAAAATGGGACAGAGACACCAAGTGGGCACATAATGTTGGCAAAATGGTGCTGATACACTTGCTCGACGCAGGGTTGCCACAAACCTTCAATTCATAAAAAACACATTATCTGCAAAGCACAATAAAGCAAGGCACAATAAAATGAGGTAGGCCATTACCCTACACAGACACATTCAGTCAGAAAAGGACTGCATAAGCAGTGATGTTAATCTAAGACCTAAAGGTCAAATAAGAATTAAGCAAGCACGGAACAAAAGTAACCCAGTGAGCTAGACAACCACGCTCAAAGAGAAAATGAATTAGCCTAAAAACTGAAGAAATTTCACAGAATTGCATCATGCAAAGAAATGTAGGGAAGGGATAAATAAGACCACAGAGGTTCAAAATGTTGGGCTTGCAGGCTACATCGAAGAGTTTTGACTTTTATCTAAGTGACCCAGAAAAGTTACTGTTTAGCAGAAACTAATGATACAATTTAATAATCTAGAGGATAAAGAGACTTCTTTGATAGGGTAGAAAATATAAATGGTAACAGAATATTCAAGAGATAACTGGGGAATGAGAACTAACAGAACTTGGTTAAGAAATTGCAAGATATTTCATTTTTTTTTTCAGTACGTATTGTATATGAGAGTCTCTTCTTGATTTCTTTTTCAGCTAGTTTGTTGTTTGTGTATAAAAGCTCTACTGACTTTTGTATGTTAATTCTGTATCCTGCAACTTTACTGAATTTGTTTATCACTTCTAATAGCTTTTTGATAGAGTCTGGAGGACATTATGTTACATGAAGTAAGCCAGAACAGAAAGTTAAAC